AAGAGTGAAAAATATGTATGATTTTGAGAGGGCTGATTGGATTAAATTTAAAAGAGCGATTGAGGAATATAATGAGTGGGAAAATGAGCCGGGAGTGAACGAGGAAGCAGCTAGGTTCCAAAGCCATTTGAAAAAAGTTTGCAAAGCGAAAATAAGGACAAAGAGATGTGACGAGGAGGAACTTAGCTGGTGGTGCGAGAGGTTAGAAAGGTTTAGGAGGTGTGTAAGGAGTAAAAGGAGGGCATGGCAGAGCGAGCGAGATGTAGAGGAGAAAGAAAGGAAACGGCAAACATTTGTGGATGAGAGAAATAAATACGAGTATAAGAAAGAGGTGAACGAGAGGAAGATAGAATGGATGTCAGAAAAACCGGAGAGCATGCAAGAAAGGAATGCGAAAGAAAAAAAAAGGCCTTTCCTCGCTAATTTTTGGGTGGCGGCGGTTGGTGGGTTTCTTTGATAGTGGTTCTGCTAGAAGCAGTGGGGAGGTACAAGGGTTAAAGCCGAAAGGTGGGAAACAAACGTATTCGTTGAGCATGCCCCCAAAGCAGCCTACACCTCAAATAGGACATCTTACGCTGAAAAATCGAAGAAAACTAAGCCCACTTCTGCCCCAGCAGCCGCCACTGCTACTGGAACTACTGCGCAGAAGCAGCACGGCGACAGACTGCTAGCTATGATGCAAGCCATCATAACCCGCCTGGATGCACTCGAGGCCAAGATGCAAGACAAGCATTAGACCATCAATGACTACAGGGTAAAACGTGGAATCTCTACGCATAATCTCCTGGAACATCAACGGATTCAGGGCACGGAAACCAGAAATCCAGGAGATACTAGACCAGTACCAACCAGAGGTGATGGCCATCCAAGAAATGAAATTGGACGCTGCCCATAGACTGACGTTCCCGCGGTATGAGACGTACCGCTACGACAGAAGAAGCAGAGGTGGAGGAATCGCACTACTCGTCAAACGTACCCTGACGAGTCATGACCTCGACGACGCCGCAGAGATCAATGGGGACGGAATCACGGTCCAGGTCCATCACAACCACCGTCCCTACAGAATCACCTCCCTGTATGTGCCACCAGGGGAGGCCCTAGACGAAGATGACATCGCTGACCTCCTGAGAGGCCCAGGAGCACGCATAGTCATCGGAGATCTAAACTGCAAGTCTCCGGCATGGAACAACAACGTCGAAGACAGGAATGCAAGGCAGCTCCAAGAACACGTCGATGCCCTGGCGGGGGTCATAGTCGGTCCAGAGCAACCAACCTACATTCCATTCGGCCTTGGACGATCTGCGGTACTGGTCATAGCCATCCTCCGCAAGATCAGAGAGGAGTTCGAGATAGAGGCCCTGGTGGAAGGATCGTCGGACCACAATCCGATCCTACTAACACTTGGCACAGGGTCTACAACTCGAGATAGCTTGAGCACCAAACGGACGAATTGGAACCACTACAAATCCAACGTCCAAAGGAATATCACCCAAATTCCAACCATTATGCTAAAGATATTTAAGGGTGGTGCGCGCTTTTTTTCACTTTTGTGGGAATTTTTGCAGGTTCCAAAATAGTACTCGCCGTTTTTCCCAACCAACGGTAGTTTTTTTCAATGGTACCCCCGAGTTCTGTTTTTGAAATTGTACTGAGAATTATGCTAGAGATATCTAAAGAAGGTGCTGCCCAAGAACTCCGTATGTTTTCACTTTTGATGGAATTTTTAGAGTTTTTAAGGTGTTTCTCGACATTTTTCCCAACTACGGGTAGTTTTTTCTAATGGTACCCCCGGGTTCTGCTTTTGAAATCGTACTGAGTATTGAGCTTGATGTATCTAAAGGGGGGCTGTGCTAGAACTCCGCGCTTTTTAGTTTTATACAGTCTCAAGTGAGTTGGTAATATTTGTTTACGTTTTCTTAGTTAAGTGTAGTTTTTACTCATAGAATCCCCAATTTCAGTGTTTGAATGTCGAATTTTCTAGCTATAAATGTGACATGCTAGTATATTGTCTCATGGATGGTTGATGCTGATTTTTTTTAATATTAGAAATTCGCTAAAAATTGCATGTTGAGAAGTGTGGAACTATTCACTACCTTGATAATACACAGCTCAGAACTCACGTTCTACGTAAAAGGGGTGCGGCGCGAAGTTAGCACCCCCAAAATTTTTTTTAAATTCCCCAAAAAACTGCAGAATTATTGTCGTAAAAAGGGTAAGAGTGCAAGCGCCCCCCAAAGAACTACGCCCACACAAAAACAGGGCACGGTCCTAGGGTAGAAGCATTTAAGGAGGCCCAGGACCTCTAAAATAAGAACCGAACCAGTCTAGCGGACAAAATCATGTTCGGTACGCCGCCAGACGAGCGCAAAGAAACTCCCCCTGTTCATGAGGTTGAGCCATTCTATCGCGGGATTTTGGAGTCGCCTACGGAGGTGACGACCGAGGTCTGGAATAAGCCTGTGAAGGAGGTCACTAAAATATGCGGACGAAATATAAAATGCCAAAAGATCATGGGGCAACTTAGCGCCTGATGCTGACTGCATAGATATAACCTCCGCCATGAACACCGACATAGGGTACACAATTATTCTACTCGGGAATGTGCACCCTACATGTTTCCGCCATTCTCGCACCCCGTTTATGGGAATGGACAACGGTGTAACCCAGCTAACTGACGTCCACTCACCATCGGGAGTGCCCTCCAGAGGTAGATGCACAGGCTGATGGCCAACCATATACCTGAGCACCAATCAGCGCGGCTTCACCGCGATGTGTGCCATTCCCGCTAATGGTATGATTTTGCAGTCATACATACGGTACAGGGTAAGCGCCGGGAAAGAGTATTGCGTCGTCTCGCCCGACGTCCGCGGTCTTTGGCACTGTTGGGCATGGGAGCGTTGCGGAGTTTTGGGATCGACGACGATACGTCTCAGCGACCTTATCCAGCTCTGAAACAGCATCAAAGTGGGTGATGAACAAACGGGGAACATTAAGATTAGACGCGGGGTCAAACATGGGGATCCGCTGAGACCCTTGTTATTTAACATGGTGATAGATGAGCTGCTGAGCCGGCTGAATGATGGGAACAGGGGAGGCACGATCCTTCCTGGTCAGCGGTATGGCGTTCGCCGACGATATCATCTTGCTGGAGGGCGCTGAAGTGTATCTTCCGCTGACGTTCGGTGAAGTGGTAGAGTTTGAGAAGTCCAGAGGTATGGCCTTGAATCCTGCGAAGTGTTCGGCCATGGTAGTTGGATTGGTACCACGACAAGATTATTCACTTAAGCTTGATGCTTTGGCTACCTGAAACATGAGACGTCTATCGGTGGAATAATGAGACTCTCACTCACCAATCTTCCTATACTCTATTTCACGAGTATCCATCACGGTAGAATGACAACCGAGCATCTAGTAATATCTCAAAATTCCCCATATTAGCACAGGACACATAATTCTGACGGATCCGTCAACGTCAGGTAGTCAGAGTCGTACTTTGTTTTGTTTTTTTGTACGCTGCAGATTCATTCTGTACTTGCTAACAGCTATTTTATTCAGAAAGGTTTATTTGCATACAAAAAACAAAACGCCACAGACAAGTTTTACTAGATTTATACCCAATTCGTTATTGCCAACGTTGCAGATCAACACAAAAATGTCACTTGCTGATCCGCTGTTCACCTAAATATTCGTCAAAGCGTGATGGATACCTATGAAATAGGGTCTCTATGGCTGTGCGGCTGAGGACATCCCCAATTCTAGCGGGGTTTGAAAATACTTGTGACGGCTCAGCCAGCCCCTCTTGGCTTCAGGAGAAGCGAAGACGAAGACGAAGAGGGTGCCCAACAAGGGGGGTTTCTCCGAAAACTGAGAAATGAAAACGAAGACTTGAAAAAGCAGATAGCTGAGCTATCTTGCCAGCTGACGGACTTAACCCGTCAGCTAATAGAGGAAAGGAAGACAAGCGCCGAAGAGCGCGAAAGAACTGCCAAGCTCATTGAGTAAATGGCAGCGAAGCAGGGCATCGAGATCGATGCCCCCAAGGATAAGACCGATAATCAAAAGAAAGAGAAGAGGAGGCACAGCACCTCCTCAGACGAGGGCAAAAAGGAAGATGCCCCCAAGAAGAAGGCACCCAAACGTAACCAAGCCAGTTCTTCTGCAACTAAGACCTCAGCTGAAGTGGAAGCGATGGATCAGTCCTCCACCCCCAAACCTCCGTCGGCGGAGGGAAGCAAGAAGAAGGAGAAGAGGCCCCCACCACTCTACATCCACAAGGAAGAGCAGTGGAAGGAGGTGCTAAGCAAAAAGATGCTCTCCATAGAGAAACCTGCACGACTGACAGGTTGCAGGTATCAAAGTCCAACCGAAGGACAGCGAGAATTATAGAAAGATCCGTAAAACTTTGGAAGATGCAAAGATAGAGCATCACACCTACTCCCTACCAGAGGATAAGCCACTGGGAGTGGTACTTAGGGGAATGCCCATCATAACCACCCGCCAAGAGATCGGAGAAGACTTGGTCAGGCAAGGCTTCCACCCAAAGAGGGTGAATAGGATGACCAGCAGAAGGACTGGCAAAGCGATACCGCTGATTAAAGTAGATCTCCCGAAGGAAGAGACGGGGATCTACAAAATAAACGCCGTTTGCCACATGGTGATCCAAGTGGAGGCACTCAGAAAGAAGACTGGACCAGGTCAGTGCTACCGATGCCAGCAATTGGCCAATGAACTGCACGGGAGAGCCGCGCTGCGTTAGATGCGCAGGAAAGCACAGAGCGGCGGACTGTAAGGTCCCAAACGAAACGCCCGCGAAGTGTACCAACTGCGGGGGAGAGCATCCCGCAAACTTTGGGGGATGCCCAAAGAGGCTGAGTGCAGGGCCAAGGGACAAGAAGACGACAGCAAGGGGCACAGCGCGAGCAGCGTCAGCACCCAAAACCATAACTAGGCCTAGTCCAGTTCAGGAGGGCCGTAGTTATGCGTCGACGACAGCTGGGACACCTAAAGTGGCCCCAGTCGTTCAGGCCAGCAGTGCCAAAGTGATGTCGCTGGTGATGAAAAACCCGGCTGCCAAGAAGGCGTATTTCGCTCATCTGGAGATTGCTCTCCCCCCCACTCCTCAAGGGTTTGAGGTTGCCTGGAACAGGGGTGGTGGAGGGACCGCACAGGGTAGGAGGGTGTGTGTGTGTGTTTGTGTCGCCTACGGGTGCTCCTATTTAATGTGGGCGGTACGCCCTCAATAAGACTCTCGTTCACTCCGATTCTAATTCTAATATCATTTAATTACAATTTATGTGACTGTTCTATTTACTATTTTATATGATACTTATATATTTACTTGTTGTGCAGTCCACCGAGATGTCACGTTTACTAAAATAGTATATATATTTATGGTGTTGCAGGCTACCAATATATGTAACCAGATATGTGTTTTTTTACTGTGTTTCTGTGCCTGGGTTGGCGGCGTCTTATTTTAGTACCTGTATGTGACCACGTCCCTGATTTATTATTTTTTATCTATGTAAACCTGTATTATTTATTTATTATACTGTATCATGCCAAGCCTTGTAAGAACTCATGTGCAACTGTATATATTTTTAATGTATGTATAAAGCCTGTACTACAACCTCAGAACAACGGTACCTGTATGTGACCACGTCCCTGATTTATTATTTTATATCTATGTAAACCTGTATTATTTATTTATTATACTGTATCATGCCAAGCCTTGTAAGAACTCATGTGCAACTGTATATAATTTTTAATGTATGTATAAGGCCTGTACTACAACCTCGGAACAACGGGGCACATGTATTTATTCATGAATAAATATTTTAAATAGCCAATTATTTAAATATTTGTCTCGTCATATAATCAGTGACACGCATTAATGGATTAACGAGGTTCCCACTGTTCCTACCCACTATCTAGCGAAACCACTGCCAAGGGAACGACTGGCTTGTAAAAATTAGCGGGAAAAGAAAACCCTGTTGAGCTTGACTCTAGTCTTGCACCGTAACGAGACGTGAGAGGTGTAGCATAAGAGGGAAATGGCAACATCGCCAGCGAAAAACCACTACTTTCATCTATTTCTATACTTCCATTTAAGGAACTTTTCAACCTCTCATTATGCAATTTATTGCAAACAAAGTCGGCCAAATTTTCCAGCCCGTCATACTCGAGCTCATCTATTTCTTCCACTAAAACTTGTTCGGTATAGTCAGCTGATACTTCAGGTGCATTTAGTTTATTCTCGTTAATGATGCGGTTAGTGGTTAGTCGAATGTCTGGAGTATCCTCTGACTCTACACTGCAATAGGTACTCTGAGTATGCGCCTTCGTTTCACCCCAACATATATGACCTTATTCTATACTTAAACTCTAGAGGACTTGTATGGCCATGAAGACCATCTTTTGCCCTAATTACTCTGAAAAAGTTTTCTATCACATCTTGATTAAGACGTCTTGTCAACAGGTATTGGACGCTGAAGCGTCGTTTCAGATCCTCTAGAGCATTTTCTAGCAAGCTTTTTACATTGACTTTGTCTTATGTTTTTGTGAGATGTAGCCATTTTTTTTTTGCTAAAGTTTGGGTCTTGAGGAAAACTGTGGAATTTCATGTCTTTGCGAAGATTCCGTTTAGATTGATTGTGGGAATTACATCCCACAACAGCACACCGCATTTTTATCAATTTATCAACCACACAGGGTATATAAGGTATGTATATGTATAACTAATACAACAAGTCACAAAACCACCAAAAAACACCAACAAATCGCACTATATAGTATTAACCACGATACACGTGAACTGCAGTAACATTACGACAATTCTGCCGCTGGTAACCACGAGCCGATAACTCTCCGGGTGACGTCACGAAGCTCCGCCCACATACGCAACATCCTATCTTCAGTGTATGTGTATCGTACAGTACAAACTAGCAGCGATCGAGGTAGCATCGTGGGTACAGCTCCAGTAAAATTTTTAATTGCGTTAGCTATAGGTTGTTTTAATTTATACTCGAAGGTTATAAAAATGGAGAGTGAAGCTGCAAATAAAGTTTTACGTGGTCAAAGCCGAGAAATTGTTGCCTCGGTATGCAGAATGAGGCTGAAAATGGAGTGGCTGTTCCTTTACACAGAGTAAATATAATTACGATTACTATTGCGATTATTACTATGATTATTATTATTATGCAGATTCGAAAATGTAAGCAACAATGAAAAATAAATTACTTTGACTCTATAGTGTATGAAACCAATTCTGATAAGACGTACATCAATCATTGAGGATGATGAATTAAAGTGTTTGCAGATTGATTCCTGTGAGATATGTGTAAAATTCTCTAAAGGTGCTGATAGTTTGGAAAGTAAACTGTTGATCCATTTTAAAATTTTCGAAAATGATTACAGAATCTTTGGGATTTAAAACCCCCCCCTTGTATTATGTTTTTCAGTTAGAATCAATATTTCTCTCCTTATTTGAGAAATTAAGGTTAGAGCAGGGCATATCTCATAAATTGTGGGACATTACGAAAGATATAGGGTTTCAACATCCTTGTACACAATTTTCTGTTTTCTGAAAAGATCTAAACATTAGGCTCAGCTAGATTCAATGTATATGCGACCATCAAGCAATTAGCTAATCAATCAATCCCTTAATGAAAGAATTGCATCCCATTTTTTCCGTAAAGTTCTAGTGAAATGCCAAATTCGGATTTCTTTTATAAAGTCAAGGGGTTGTCTACGAAGGGCGAATTGTAATCGTAAAATAGGTAGCCTTTTATCATATTAAATGAAATAACTGAAATTTTCACGTTGTAACTGAACTTGCCGCGTCGACTGTACTATATCCGTCGACTATTACCGTTTCTCTCAGACATCCACCGGCTCACTCTGTTTTCTGCGCATCTCGCGGCTCAATCTGGATTTGCCGGCCTGTAGTTTGGGGATTCATCTTGTCACTGAGTGAGACGAGACCCCGATGATATAAATATAGGTATATTATTTTCTTCGTGTACTCGTATATTGTATAATATTAATGCATATTGCCGTTACCGGTCGATAAAAATATACAGGGTGTCCGCAAAGTTGGGGTTTCCTTTACACGACGTGTAGATCTTGAAAACATAAGCAATTTTTCTTAGTACCATATACACCAATGTCTTAAGGGAACCGAGATAAAGGGCTCTGCAACATCAAAAATATCTGAATACCGTCCTGTAGCCGCGACCCGCCGGGATATCCCCGACACCCCGACTGGTACAAGGTCTCAACCCGACGGGAGAACTGGGTCAGGTTAGTATGCAACCTTCAACCGACGGTTACAGTCACGCGTGTAGAGGTCAACGAACTCGTATAATCGATTGCGTTTAAAAAAACAACAAGCACTAGAGACGTGGCTAGAGAAGTGCAAGTATCAAAAACTAAAGTGTGGCAAACGCTGCCTGAAGAGGGGCTGTATCCGTTTCACATCCAACGTGTACAAGCCCTTCAACCTGACGATTTTCCAGCAAGAGTGCGGTTTTGTGAGTGGTTGTTGCATCAACATGACAATAATCCGGACTTTTTGAAGTGCATATTGGTGACAGACGAATCTACGTTCACGCGTAATGGGGTGAATAACTTTCGCAACACTCATGTTTGGTCATTTTCAACAAACATTTTCGGTGAATGTTTGGGCTGGCATGGTGAACGGTATGCTCATTGGACCATTTATTCTCCCAAATCGATTGGACGGTATGCAATACCTAGACTTTTCACGCAACATTTTGTCTTCCTTGTTAAAAGATGTGCCATTAAGTGTAAGACAATCAATGTGGTTTTTGCGTCTGCTCGGTAGCGCTTCAGCTGATTTCATTTTCTGTTGGAACGGTATGATTTCGGGCAAAGACGTACTTAGCCCTTCTCGTCAACTGGAGAGTGAGTACTTTTTCCTTTATTTTTTTTTACTTGGTCGCCCTCGTTTCACTACACATTACCTTTGTTATTTCAAGGGTAGTTGTTTCTGAAAAAGAAAACCCCAACTTTGCGGACACCCTGTATTATAATACCGGGCTCGTACAATTGATATAATGTACTTGCACTGTTATTGCGTGTGCGTAGTATTTTATATGTACCCACGCGGTTATTTATCAATACATAATTATCGATCGATAACGGATCCGTGACATGGATATCTCTTGCAGTTTGTGGGATCCTGCTATAGACTTACGTTTCTGAATATCATGCTGTCGACCACAGCTTCTTCCTAAAATTGGTAGATTGGAGATTTGTTTTCAGGTTCACAGAAACGCGAGGATGTTTGCAAATGGTACTCTGCTCCTGCTATGAGATAAGCAAATCCGTGGCATCGATACCATCGCCGTTTCTGCGATCCTGCTACAGGTCTATAGGTTTCTGAAAATCGTACTGTCGACCAAACTTTTCTCGTAAAATTGTTGGACAAGATGCTACCAGGATCATAGAAACGCGAGGAGGTATATGAATTGTACATTGCTTATATTATGATGCTGGCACGAAATTTTGACCTTTGACATCTATGCTCCTAGTCGTTTCTAACATACAATCCTGATATAGATCTAGAAGTTTTTGAAAATCGCACTGTTGATCAGACTCTTATCGTAAAATTGATGGATGGTGACTTGCTATAAGTATCACAGAAACGTGAAGAGAGATGATAATCAATCTGTTTGTTCTATGATGGTGCAAAATTGTTATCTTTGGCCTCTATGCGCTTATTCGTTTCTGCAATCCTGACACATATCTGTAGGTTTCTGAATATCGCGCTGTTGACCACATCTTCTTCGTAAATTTGGTAGATTGGGGACTTGTTATCAGGTTCACAGAAACGCGAGGAGGTTTGTAACTACTCTCCTCCTTAATCTTATAAATACCGCCGCCAAGTTACAACAAAATTAGGTAAAAGGTACGAAAAAAATTAACACCTTGTATCTTGAGAGTGAAGAATTTGAGTATCATGTTTATATGAACCTTTTGTCTTAAAATTACTCAAAGAAACGTCTGTTAAATTTATGGTAGGTAACTTATCACTTCATATAAACTGAAAACCAAATACCACTCACGTCGTAATGTGTAAAGATATAGAAGCACCTCGTTGCCCAGCAACCCGAGTACGAGGTCACCTCTCGCTTCTCTCTCGTACACATTACGACGTCAGCCAAATTTGAAACCCACCGTCAAGAAATCAATTAATTCAATTTGCGTTGTAATTCACTATTACAGATTGGTATATTAATTTTTCGAGATGTCTGAAAATGACACAGGAAGATGTACGTCTCAGGGGGAAGGGGGTAGCAGCGATTCAACTTTGAAGAGCATGCTTAGCTTTCAAGCAGCGCATCTAAGAGCAAATTCCACTCGTAACAAAATTGAAGTGCGGGGCGTGAGATAGGTTTAACATCTCACGATTCAGGTCTAGCAAGGTAATTTTACACTAAGATACCGCAATACATAGCACTTTCTTGGGAAAAATGTCTAAATCCGCACTTGGCTGATACCGGCATTTTATTTTCTGAAAACCTCTTGTGCCTGAAACGATTTTGAACACAGCAGGTGACCCATCCTAGGGCTGATCATAATTTATGATATAGGAAAATTGGGACCAGTGTATTCTAATTTTTATTAAAATATACACTATAAAATGGAACATTTCGAAAACAAATAAAATAACGTTGGTGGTAGAAAGAGTAGAAGGCAGCTTTACAATTTTGTACAATCAATCATGGTTTGAGGAGGTAGGAGAAAATAAATGTATTCAAGGTACAATTTATAAAAAAAGAGAATGTAAAAAACAAAACAACATATATAATGTTCATACTCAAATACATAAGTTCAATTACATGAAGCAAAATTAATTAAAATGCTTATACTTAACCTAATTAAGAATTGAAAAAGGAATTGGAAACTAATAAAATCAACTACAAATGGCAGGTACTAGCACATTAAACTTAGCAACGAGTTGGCGTATGCCATTGGTTTCACATCTGGATGAAGCTGAAAAAAATAATAATGTTAATAACGTCATCAAGTTAATGAGTACAGTGAAATTCTCCTTCGCGGACACCCCTCTTACATGGGGATTCACAGACTGTAATCTTTCGGTACAAACGCAACCTTCTGCTCGGTGTGAATTAGAGTAGACTTCCCCGAGTTGGTCGGGGATTTGCCTTCTTATTCTTTTTGTACACGTTTTCGATTAAATTTCCATTCAGTATTAGTCTGTCGTCTATGCGGAAAAGACACAGTAGGCGGCACATTCAATGTAGAAATGGCTCAAAATAGAAAAGATCTGACGCTTAAACAAAAAAAAATGATATTGTTAAGTTCACAGTAAGGGGAAGTTGAGTGTAAGAAACTTATCCAAGCGTTTTAATATTGGAAAAACACAATCTGCACATATAACACTGATCAACAGCCAAAAAATATCCTAAATAAAATCAACAAAATATTACTATTTTTAATGTGCTAAAATCGGAATGAAACTTATTTTTTCAATATTAGTTCAAGTTTTAGAGATACGGTAATTATATGTGTTCCTGCTGTGACAGTGTTAATATACTGTAATTCACAAGAATGCACGTGCTACATTTTTTAATTCGGCAAGGAAAGATGATGTAATCGGCATGATTGTGTTACGTTATACATACGTGTACATTATATTGTTTTATATTAGCCATTTTTTCCTCAGTTGGCTGACAGCGTTCATGCAAGATGTCTCGAAAGTGTGTAAACAATCCAGATCAGTTTTGTTACGTGTGTGGCGATGTGACTTTTGCGTCTCAGAGACGGTCTATTACTCCACTAATAACAGGCATATCAGCTTTATTTCGGTTGTAAACTAGGTGATCAAGACAAACAGTGGGCACCCCACATCTGCTGTAATACATGTGCTTCAAGTCTGAGGAGCTGGTTAAATGGCAAAAAACGGTCTATGCGCTTTGCTGTCCCAATGGTTTGGAGAGAGCCTACAAATCATATTAATGATTGTTACTTTTGCATGGTACCTTGTGTTGGACAAGCCACAGGTATGTCCAAGAAAAAAAAATCGGTTATTAACTACCCAAACATACCATCTGCGATGAGACCTGTGCCTCACAGTGACGAAAATCCTATTCCAAAACCCCCAGAATCCTACACTTGCGAATCAGAAAATGAATCAGATCATGGCGATCGAGTGATTCGTCAGGAAGAAGATATGCCAACAACGTCAAGAGATCCTGATTTTATACCGAGCACGTCATGCCACCAACCGCACAAAATAACACAGTCAGAATTAAATGATCTTGTAAGAGATTTAGAACTTCCAAAATGTAAGGCGGAGTTACTTGGATCAAGACTGCAGCAGTGGAACTTGTTAGAAGACGATGTTTCGGTATGTGTTTTTCGTAAACGCCACAAAGACTTAGAACCATTTTTCAATATGGAGAATAACTTGGTTTTCTGCAGTAACATTAACGGCTTACTTGCACTTTACTTGGGCTGCAGCTAGGCTACACAAAGTTTTGCTGTTTTTTGTGTGAATGGGACAGTCGGGCAAAGGCACTTCATTACACCAGACAAAACTGGCCTGTTCGTCAATTCCTAGAGCCAGGTCAAAAAAATGTACAGCATATGCCATTAGTAGATTCGAAAAAATTTATTACCACCACTGCATATCAAGTTGGGCCTAATGAAAAACTTTGTCAAGGCATTAGATAGAGATGGGTCAGCTTTTCAATACCTGCGTCACTAATTTCTTGGGAAATAGAAAAGCTGACAACTATAAAACCCTTGTCAAAAATATGCTGTCATCTTATCAAAAGATGGGCTGTAATATGTCTCTTAAGATACATTTCCTACACTCACACCTGGACTTTTTTCCTTACAATTGCGGAGCCGTAAGTGATGAGCACGGCGAACGTTTTCATCAGGATTGTTCAACAATGGAAAAAAGGTACCAGGGAAAGTGGAATCCTTCCATGCTTGCAGACTACTGTTGGACTCTTGGTAGAGATGCTCCAGAAACGCTCCATAAAAGAACAGCAAAAAGACAGCGCAAATAGTGATTCTTATAAGTATATGAATCTTGTTACTTTTTTTAATATATCCTTAAAAATAAAAAGTTTTTTTTCTAAACTAATTTTTTTATTTCATTCAGCGCCCCAAAATTAACAAAGAAGTGCACTTTTCCCACAAGATACACCTGCTATTAAACATTGAAATTACTTTTGAGTTAATAAAGAAAATTACGTCATCGGCTACGGTTCATTTGGCAAAAACCGCTTTGGACCAAGTAACCAAAGAAACAGTGCAAAATTGCTTCTACAAAGCAGGATTTAAGCATGAAAATATGCAAAGTGAAGACCAGATAAATGAGGTGATACTCCTGACCCAGAAGATGACTTACTACTTAATGTAGGATTCGTTGATGATTGCAACTTTTGTTTTTCTTATGGAATGCTATACATTTTATTTGATATTTTTATTCTGCGAGAAATTCTAAATACTTTTCATTAAACATACTTTGATGGAGAACTCATACTTTTCGAAATATTCGCCGTCAAACATTAATACATAAACAATAAGATGTTTTTTCACCTAAGCAATGACCGGTATCGAAAATAATTTCGTGTCATTCCTGACATTCCAAGTCCATAGAGTTTTGTTAGTAGAGTTACTGAGAATGATTCATTCAACTGAAACCGAGAGAATAGAAATTCTAATGATTCTGGGTTATGGCGATCGTCGACGCACTCAGCAAGAAGTATGCGTATTTTTAATGACAAATATCTCAAGCGGAATCCAATATATATATATATATATATATCTACTTTTGGAAAGTTTTGAGGAAGTTTGAAATAACAGGACATGTAAAGGATGTTCCACGATCTGGCCATCCCAAAACAGCCACTGACGAAAATAAGACTTTGAATATTTTAGTGACCATAGCGAAAAACTCTAGAACTCTTGGTCAAGATAACAATACAGGGTGGCGCATCGAAAACGAAACACGCATTCACTGGCAGCTCAGTTTTTTTAAAAAACCCGTCGATTTTGTTTTCGAGGGAGACACAAGTTTGGCAAAAAATCACGTTAGCACGTGCAGCCCCCTAAGCGGGGGTGACACCACCCCAAAAATCTTAAATGGAAAGGGGAGTCGAGTGATACCTTATTTTAAAGGCCTTTCGATTCCCTTTATAATGTTATAAAATTAATGTTCAGTAGTTTTGAAGATTTATTGATTTAAAGCTTAAAAAAAACTAATACATCATTATTAGTGGAGATCAATACATTTGGCAGCAAAGTAATTTAAAGATGAAGAATGAACTGACCCGTTAGGCAAGTAAATGTTGAAAATGGCCACCATGACTCTCCATGCAATAATAAAGATTTTGCTCATTTGAGGAGTAATTTGAAGGCACTCATTCACAATTCTTTGTCGCAGGTCTTATAATGATGTTGGCAGAGTAGCATAGATTTTGCTTTTTAAATGACCCCACATACTGAAATCCAGAGGTGATAAATCTGGCGATCTTGGGGGCCATTCAATGGCACCTCTTCTACCAATCCATCGATCTGGAAACGTCTTATATAAATATTGTCGAACACGTAATGCATAAAGTGGTGGGGCACCATCCTGTTGGAACATCAACCTATTCGCAATGTACCGTCGATCATTCTGATTTTCAATTATGGCTGTTAATGCAGGATCTATGGAGTCTTCCAGTAATTCCAAATACATTTCACCGGTCAAATTTCCAGGTAAGAAAAAAGGACCAACTAAATGATCGCCAAAAATACCAGCTCAAACATTTCATTTTTGTGGCTGCTGTGTATGAACCTCGTGATAAATTCTGGGATTAGAATCGGACCAATATCGGCAGTTATGATGATTTACTACGCCATTTAAGAAAAAGGAACGTTAGTCGGAAAAGCAAGTGTTGAATAGAAAATGTTCATCGTTTATAATTCGTTCACTCATATCTTCACAAAATTGTAATCGTCGATCAAAATCGTCTTCATTAAGTTCTTGTAGCAGGTGAATTTTATACGGATGAAATCTATGGGCCTTTAGAATCCGTTGAACAGTACGTCGACTAACACCACACACAGTCTCCAATTTGCAGGTACTTAACGTAGGATCTACATAAACTTGCCCTAAAACCCCCACTTCTATTGCTTCGTTCCTTATGGGATTTTCAATGTTGCGTTTTTTATTGGCGACTCACCCAGTTTCCCGAAATTTAGCTACAAGTTCTAGAACATATTTTCGATGCACGTTACTGTTCTCATTAAAGATTTCTGCTGTTCTATTAGCGCACTGATTATTTCCGAAAAATATTTCGATAATTTCAACTCTTTCTGCTGTGGAATATACCATGATTAATTTATGTAATAAAGCGTTACAAGTTATTTTAGCAACAAAGTTTGGTCAAATCAATCGCAAAATATGTACTAAATTCCTATTTAAAATAAGGACGAGATATTTCCTTATCTTTCTTCAAGAAATAACTTTTATGCTACAAAAAAAACGCTCCAATAGCTATTTTCAACAACAAAATGATAAACAAAGCATAGGCGTAGTGAAGAAAAGCATTTCCATATTAAGTAAATTCTTTTAGTCAAATTTCTTTTGAGAGTAGTACAAACTAATCTGATGTACCTATTAAAGTCTACTTTAAGCTTTAAATCAATAAATCTTCAAAACTACTGAACTGAAGCTCATGTATTTTACATCATTATAAAGGGAACTGAAAGACCTTTAAAATAATTTATCACTCGACCTCACTTTCCATTTAAGATTTTACGGTTGGTGTCACCCCCGCCCAGGGGACCGCACGTGTTAACGTGATTTTTTGCCAAACTTGTGTCCCCCTCGAAAACAAAATCGACGGGTCTGAGCGTTTTTCCAAAAAAAAAAATGAGCTGCCAGTAAATGCGTCTGTTTCGTTTTCGATGCGCCACCCTGTATATCTCGCATGCCTGTGGAACACATTTTAAAGACGGAAAAATTCCAACCTTACAGAGTCACCTTGGTTCAAGAGCTATAAGATTTTAGCAGGCGTTTACAATTCTGTGAGACCATGATGGACATGTGTAATAGAAATGAACATTTTTTTTACGAAATAATGTTTTCGGATGAGTCAAGTTTTTCTTTGTACGGAACTCTTACTCGCCATAATTGCCGCTACTGGGCCAGGAAAAATCCTCATTGGGTACGGGAACATCATAGACAATATCCACAAAAAATATTGTTTGGGGCGGTCTCAGGTCAAAAGATAATCAGTTCATTTTTCATGGAAGAAAATTGAAACGCTGAAAGATATTTGCATCTTTTTAGGAATCACGTTGTCCTAGCTTCCCAATCCTTGTAACTTTCATTACCCGGAGCAATGAAAATTATCAAAATTGTTTCCTTTTAGTAAATACGAGTATAAGAGTGCCCAACGATAGAATATGGCTTCAACAAGATAGTGCACCTCCGCATTACGCTCGAACTCTTCGCGAATTGTTGGATCAAACATTTTTTGGAAGATAGATAGGTAGAAGAAGTACGATAGTATAAATGTTCTAAACGCATTTCCGCAATATCTAGCTTATTGCCAAGAAGTACATTATATGGACGGCAATTTAAACATTTAATATGATTTTTCTTGTTTTGAAGTTTAAATTAACAACTAGGTTTTATCGTTTTCTTGTTTTTAATTTTTCTCTTGTTTCCTTGGAATATCAAGTACACTATTTTAATCAATATTAAAATTTCTATCCTCTTGGTTTTAGTTAAATAAATCATATTTTTATATTTTTATTAACCCTACTAACAAAACTCAATGGATTTTTCAATGTCAGAAATGACAGGAAACTATTTTCCTATACCGGTCATAGCTTAGGAGTAAAAATACCTTTTATTGTTATTTCGAAAACTATTCAAAGTATTTAGAATCCGCAGAATTCAAATATCAAATAAAATGTATATATAGCATTCCTCAATAAAAACAGAAGGTGCTATCAGTTTCTGAAAAGCTGTAGATTTGGCAACATAAACCTAGCAATTTAAAAAATGAGATGAGTCATTCGTTAGATATTTGATGCGTTCCAAACTTTTGTTACAGTCTATATATGTATGTACATATTATATTATACACATGTACATATGTACATACTTTATATACAGCTTCGGAAAAACCATTATTATACATTATGATGAGGAAGAGAGATGGAAATATACAAAAGTATGTAGGTGCGTGAAAGACACTCGATTGTAGGATCCTATCTGGCAGCGTCGGAGTGTGACGGACAACGGGGTAAAGTAGAAGAGTGATAAAAGAGAGATGGCAGAACGGGCGCTGGCGCCTGCCGCTTAGACGGATGCGCTCAACAAATGCGATTTGTTTCTCCCATTCGCAGAGTTGCCGATACCAATAAATTTCGGGAAAAATAGCTACGGATTCCACATAAGAGTATTCCAAAAATGAAAAAAGTTCAAACTATTAAAATTGTATTAATGTTTCATGGTTCAAATCATATTTTTCATGTTTGTATATTGTTGTATAAATGATTTTGTAATCCCTATTCTTGTTGCCAGTAGAGATACAACAGTATTGAGAGAAATCATGGACCGCTAATAGGGCTACAACTACCATATGACTATCAAATAGTAGTGATAAACAGGGTTTGTTTATAGCACAGTTGCCTGGTGTGGCGAATTCGCGCCATAGGGGCGATTTGACAACTTTGAAGGACAACTATAACGGGTACTATGGTGCCCGGTATTCGGGAATCTGGCAATACCTGATGATTCCGACTGAGCACCTGGTAACCCTGGTTTAAGGTGTTATATTTAAAGAGCTTGGGGCAGTTAGGTATCTAGGTCACATTTTTTAATGTATTTCGAGAAATCCGTAATGTTGAGTAAATACTAGATCACGTTTCTTGCTTAGTTTGCTGAAAATTCTACAATAGACATACATTTTGAGAAACAGATTTGGTGACGACAAAATCGTAAAAATATAACGTATTTTCGTAAAATAATTTCTTTGTTGAAAAGACTGTGGCTTGATGACCCATTGAACGAGTATAGTGCCCCGCTCCGCTTTGAATATTCGAAACACTATAATCCAGCAGCATTCAGCTTCAATGTTATCTTTATGAAGTTCTAACGTCTAGGCCATGCTGATTAAAAGCTTGAATGAATCAACACTTAACTCTAAATTCCCCACAATTCGGGAAGCTCTACTCAAATTGGCAACACAGCGTATCTGCCTATTATTCTCATTCGTGATACAGGTCTGCGGTCTGCTGCAAATTTCAGTATGCGTTGAGTCGACAGAAGAAGTACAGTAGATGCGCGCATTACGCACCAGTTCGATTGTGCGTCCTGTGAACCGATTTCGGTGATTTCGAGATTTCACGAAAGCACCTAAATCACTCTACTTATTTTTATGAATGGATAATTGGTTTTGTAGCAAATAAGGGTTGCGTCTCATAACAAAAATAAGAAGATACCCACTCTAACAAAAAATAGTACACTCTTAAAAATGTGTAACGAAAATAAAAAGATATTCTAACAAAAAAATAAGTTCTCAAAAATAAAACGCAATAATGAACACAAATGTTTCAAATGGTCCTTCACAGCTGGGGCTCAAAAACGTCTCCTTCATTCAATGAACAGTATGTCAGGCGGTTAGAAAAAATCATTGGGTGCTAGATCGGGTGATCTAGGAGGCCATTTTATTGTTCCGTTACCGCCAATAATCCGGTGGCCGAACACACTTTCAAGGTAAGTGTGTACGATCGCCGCATTATGCGCCGGGCATCCATCTTGTTGGAACCAAATATTAGCGAGATCAATGCCAAGCTGCATAATCGCAGGAACAATCTGCGTCTGTAGTAACGCCAAATATTTTGCAGCCGTAAGAGTTCCATCAATAAAGAACGGTCCGATAATGTTATTACCTAGAATTCCTGCCCACACATTCAGTTTCTGTGGATACTGCGTGCGGACGGGAATACTGAGGTGTTTATTTTCCCGAGACCAATACCGAACGACTGAAGGATTGTGATGACCGTGGAGAGGGAATGTGGATTCATCAGTAAACAAAATGTTACCAATAAAACTTCCATCCTTGTTCGCCTTCTCCATGACCGTTTCACAAAACTCCATTCGACGGTATTTGTCTAAAGGAAATATTTCTTGAACCATTCCAACCTTGAAGCTATGATAGCCGTTGCGATGCAAAATATTTCTTGTTGTTCTGGGTGTGAGATCGGCTATTGGTACCATTTCAGCAATTTTTCTGCTTGAGCATGGCTCAGATACTTCTGCAGCGGCACAAACAGCAGTTTCGATCTCCTCCCTTTTCTCGCTAATTTTTGGTTTCCAACCTTCAGGGTGCATGCAGCTATGGCACTTATCTAAGCAGCCCACCCTCTTGAATTTTTCGTAGGTATTTATAACCGTTGCGTGAGACGGAATTGGCCGATCTGGGAAGCGTACCGCAAATAATTCAACAACCGCGCGTGCTGAATTATTCTGGATGTACCATTCTATCATTTGAAACTTTTCTTCTTGCGAGTACATTTTTAAGATATTTTGGATTAAATAAAGACGCACCTTTCCTACACAAAACCCAACCGCAGAGTGAGTCATGAATCCCTTATCGAACTTGACGACGGCACGCGCGTTAACGGTAGGAAATATGTACGAATAGCGATGAAAGTAGACGAGCCGATGCGCTGTTGCCAAGAAATGATTTCCCATGTACAACAATGGTTTTTCCTAAGGTGTATATCTAAAGGTAACAAACCTTTTTTCTCAAGTTTAAAGTTTTTTGTTTATTTTAAAAACATGTATATACATATTTGTGTTAAATGTCCCAGTTTTTTTAATATAGTCAGTTTCCAATAAATACACGATTTTTGTTGCATTTCTTTTATATGGACACCCTTCTTGAACGGACACTTTCAGTCGGTCCCGTTGGTGTCTGCTCAAAGGAAATTTCACTGTACTTGAAAAACGTTAACTAAATCTTTATTCTTCAAACGTTTTGAATATCTCATATACAACTAGAGTTTAAGGAATACTTACCACAGCTTCGTAAGTAGTGTAGTTTGGTGTCATATCCTTGCCTTTTAGTGTGATGAACGCAGCTTTGTTCCCCATTGTATCACTAAAATTATAAAGAAATAACCTTGACGTTACAATGAATAATCGTGTGAAATTAATTTAATACATACTATACAGGGTGTTAATGCAATTTATATTGAAATCCTAGCTCAAATTAAGCAAGGAGACAATTAAAACGGTTCAGTGTAAATTCTTATTTTCTGTCTCTTTTAAAATACTCTGAATTGCCAAACTAAGGCCGTTTCCTGATTTGTCGATGCGGTATCGGTGCGGAATACGCGGTACCGATAGCTTACCGAGCGCCTATATTTCAATGAGTCCCTTCTGATTAGCGCGGATTGTACGGGATCGTGGAGGGATCCGTTCGGTTTACCGCGTCTCGGCACGCTCGTCAGGGGGGCGCTGAGGATTCACCGCAATATGGCGAAAATACATTTAACTTTAGTACTGGAAATAGAAAAGTATCCTGTGTTGTCTGAATATTAGATTCAAAAGCTGTTGATATGTTTCTTTTGACATTCTATACATAGATAAAAAATTTGTATCATCATGCGAAAGTCCTTGAGCTGCAACAAATAGTCGGCAGTTAATATTATTTTCGATGTAAGGATGACGCCAATAAGGTTTTGTTTTTTTTACGTACGCGGAGATACAAATAACACGCCAAAATATCATCATCACTCGAACCGTACCGCAGAATTTCATACCGAGAATATACCGAGTAATGCGTAGATGGGAGCAATGCGGTATTGAATGATATCGAACATATACTAAGTGACATATAAATCCGAACACTCAGTTTAAATGGTTTTATTTTAATAAAATTTTGTATAAGTACTTAATGAAGCATAATAAGTAAATGATAAAAATTTCAAAATGATTGCACTGCTTTAAAGCCCTTTGACCTTTAATAATGTGTGGATGCACCCTGATGTGCTACGCTTTCTCCAACGCGCCTAGGCATGCTTCTGATCAGGTGGTCAATGTCCTCCTGTGGTATCTCATTCCAGGCAACCACCAACTCCTCTCGAAGTGCTTCTAGAGTCTGAGGAGGACGTTGCAAATTGAGCAATCTCCTACCCATCATATCCCACACGTGCTCAATTGGGGATAAGTCGGGAGATCTTGGTGGCCATGGTAACAATGTGACATCATTATGTTGAAAGAAGTATATTGTGACTCTTGCAACATGTGGTCGGGCATTATCTTGTTGGAAAGTTGGATCTGCCAGGGTGTCAAGATAGGGTAAAAGATGGGGTTCTAGAACTTCGTGGATATAACGCTGCGCGTTCATGTTACCTCTGATGAAGATTAAAGGTGACCTGGAACGATAAGCTATAGCACCCCAAACCATAACTCCAACAGTGTGATGAACATGTCTTTCAACAAAAAACTGTGGATTCCTCCTTCTAACGTCTAACGTCGCCTTCTAACCCTGGCACGACCATCGTGCATGCCTAAACAAAATCGAGACTCGTCACTAAAGACAATACTGTTCCATTCCTGATCCCAGAGTGACCGTTGTCTGCACCACTCAAGGCGATTACGTCGGTGTTCTCGAGTTAAAGGGAGGACCCAGTGTGGCCGGTATGAAAACAAGCTAAAACTTCTCATTCGTCGGTAAACACTTCGCATGCCAATAGGTCTTCCGTGTTCTGCAAACCATTCATTTGCAATGGACCTGGTAGTGGAGAAACGGTCCCTTAAGGCCAATAATCTTAGACGGCGATCTTCACGGTCTGTTGTTCTACGGCGGCGTCCAGTGCCCCTTGCTCTTTGCGTACGGCCTTCTCGAAGCCATGCCTGACAACACCTAACCACAGTGTCTACACTTCTTTGCACTCTAACTGCAATTGCCCGAAAAGAAAGTCCAGCTTCCCGAAGTCCCACTATACGGCGCCTATCAAACTCACTAAGTTGACGAAATCGTACAGGTCTCCGTACTCTAGGCATCGTAACCGATCGTAAAGAATGTCAAGAACCAAAATCCGCCAACGTTGATTCTTTACTGCGGCTGAAATATTCATTTTTAGAGCGTTAGTGAATTAAAAAAAAGCAGTATCCAACTGATAAGGCTGAAAATTTTTTCACTTGTTATTTACAGTAAGATAAATACATTCACCAACTTTTACTAAAATAAAACCATTTAAACTGGGTGTTCGGATTTATATGTCACTTAGTATAATATTAACTGTCGACTATTTGTTGCAGCAAAAGCACTTTCACATAATGATACAAAATATTTATCTATGTATAGAATGTTAAAGTTGACTGTATTTTCGCCATTTTGCAGTGCTTGTGCGTATACTGGCGGTGAATCCCGAGACACGGTAAACCGAACGGATCAGTCCCCGCTTCCACACAATCCGCGCTACATAGAAAGGACCGAGCATACCGCCGCCGCACCGATACCGCACCGACAAATCAGGAAACGGCCTAAGTAACATTTTATTAGTTACCTAACTTTTTACCGTTTCCGAATTTGAAATCCCAAGTATATATACATAGTGTCCAAATAGTATGTCAAGCTAAATATCTTCGTTTCTATTAGAAATGCAGAAAAAAGTTTAAAACAAAAGTTGTAGGCAGAGCTTAAGGCTACAACCAAAAATTATATTTAGCTAGACAAGGTATGCCATAAATTAATGGTAATATAAAGTTCTATTTTTCTAAATGGGACCCTGTATTTCTGTTGATTTTTAGAAGCGCCTTTTCTTGGCCATTCTGCCAATGTATGGTTTCGGGGATTTGCACTGGATGTTTTGGGATATATGGCCACTTTTTCGTTAAAATCATTAAACATTTGACTTCCCGATGTTCTTCGACTTCGTGCAGCTCTGCTTCCTCAATTTCAGGTGTTCTCACACTTAGAGGTCTACCTTCAGATGTTCCCTTTCGGACAGAACCAGTTTTAACAAGACGACGATGAATATTAGAAAAGGTTCGACTATCTGGCAAAGCACGATCGGGATATCTCTGGTGATAAATCAGTGTGGCTTGCTCACCATTACCGTCGGCAAGGCCATATATACAATGAAAAAATGTCACAGCGAACAGATTTGAGTAACAGAGACTTGTTAGATGTCAAAAGCCAGTGACATATTCCAGAGCAACTAGATTTTTATTGCTAAATTGCATTCTTCAATTATTACATTAATTTTCTCGGACAATAGAACGGTTTTTATCTTTTTACTAAAAAATGGCGCATTGAAGGAAAGCAACTCATGAGAGATCATTTGTTTTAAATCGAACGGGGAATTCAGAAATAATTTTTGTTTGTCAAAAAACCATTGGCGTACCATTTTTTTCTTCAAAAATATGTCAATACCCGTACGCACCCCACTGTTAAAGCTAAAAATTATTTTTGCATTGAAAAATATACAACATTATTAACTTTCACTACGTACTAAATATCAGTGAAATATCTGAAGCGGCTCTGAAAATATTAATTTCCATTTTTTCCTAAAACTTCAACACCCCGAGTTTTTGAAAGGAAACATTTTTGGACCAAACTAACATTAATTTTTCATGTAGATTCACACCCTTAAATATTAGCATATCATTAAAGAATACCCTGTATAGCGTCCTTTTAGCAAAGTTGAATTACGTAGATTTCAAACAATCCTAATTATTTCTCATGTAATACATATTGGCTCAGCTTGGTGAGAAACCTGTACATGAACAACTTTGTCATAGTCGTTTTTATAAAAAAAAATCTTCATTTAATTTCGTAGGGCTTGAGAAAACCAGGATAGCTTTCTCGAAAATGTTCATAAATTACAATATGTACAGCGAGAGCGAAAATAGTGAGAAAAGTAATTGTTTTCAATGAAAAGTGAGTAAAAGTGAGATGGTTCGCAAAAAGTGAGTCGCCAACATCCCTGGCTTTCTGAAAAGCACTGTTCGAGGTCTGTCCGGAAAATTCGTATTAAAGTTCAAGTATGTATTTCAATATGGTCTTCTGCAAAGTACTTCCCCTGAGACAAGTTGCACTTCTACCAACGCCGTTTCCACTATTGATAGGATCGTTGAAAGTCTTCAAATGTGAGGCTTTTCATTTGCCGTGTCGTTTCTGCTTTGATGGCTTCCACATCCCCCAAGTGCCGCCCCAAAGCACCATCTTGCATTTTGGGAACAGGAAGAAGTCGCAAGCGGCCAAATCGGGTGATTAAGGCGGGTGTTTTGTCACGGTGATTGAGCTTCGGGCCAAAAACTCACGCACAACGAGACACGTGTGAGCATGCGCGATGTCGTGATGAAGGATCCACCTGCCCAATTGTATCAAATCCTGTCAAACTCGGGCCACACGAGCTCTGAGACGGCGAAAAACTTCTCAAGTTCACTGTTTGGCCGGGAGGGACACATTCCTGGTGAACAATGCCCCGAGAATCAAAGAAAACAATCAACATTGTTTTCAACATTGGACATTGATTTTATCGACTTTTTTGTTCCCGGTTCCCCTGCTTGCTTTAACTACATGCTTTGAGATTTCAGCTCCACATCGAACTCGTAGAACCAAGGCTCGTCTTCAGTGATGACCCGATGTCTCTTCTTTCCTCTGCTCCCAACCAATCATCACAGCAAGCAACTCTCCTTGCTTTCTGTTCTGGAGTCAAGAGCTTCGGAACGATTTTCGCGCACCATTTTTTCATTTCAAGCTTTGCTGTCAGAATTTATTGGACGTTTGGTTTGGGGATTCCTCAGCTATCATTCTAACTGACAATCGACGGTATTTAACACTTTCACAATGGAGGATCTTGTTACAAAATCTGTCTGTCCTTACGGGGAAAACGCCGCTTGCTGATTTATCCGCTTCCCGTTCCAAATCAACATTTTATGACGCGCTGATCTATCCGCTTCCCGTTTGGAATGACTATATATTGTTTTTTTATTTTATTCTTTAGTGAAATGGCGATAATTAAAAAAACTTTTTATTTCTTAAAAAGACATTTTCATAAAAAAATGTTATTCAAAAATGTAAATACATAAGAGTATATGTAAATAATAAAAACATAACGTAAGTAACAAAATCTGAATATACTA